ATTTCAGTACAATTTCAACCATGGAACAGTACATATCAAAACAACGCGCTGAAATTATTCAGTTGTACATTCAAACATTCTCAACCGTAAAAACTAAACGTGCGTTTCGTAAAAAAAAATAAAGTTAAAAGTGCTCCAACTGATAACACTATCAGACGTTTATACGCAAAATTTGTGAACACCGGTAGTCTTAGTAATGTCAGTCACCTATCCAGACAACGAACAACACGTTCCGATGAAAATATTGAAGCCGTACGAGCCAGTGTTGAAGAGACTCCATCAACATCCGGTAGTCATCGTTCTCAAGAGTTAGGCATCGCTCGAACCACTCTCCGACGCATAATTCATAAGGATTTGAAGATGTTTCCATACGAAATTCAAATGGCTCATCAACTAAACCCAGCTGATTACTGGTGTTGCTTTGACTTTGCTAAATGGAGCATTGAAATAGCCGAAAATGAAGATGACTTTTGGCGAAAAATCATCATGTCCGACGAGGCACATTTTTCGTTACATGGAGGCGTAAGTAAACAAAATTGTCGGTTTTATGCTACCGAAAACCCTCAATTAATTGAACAGCAGCCTCTTTATGACCAAAAAGTTACTGTTTGGTGCGGTATGTGCGCGAATATGGTATTTTTTTGAAGACGATGATGGAGCTGCGGTAACCGTCAATGGTGAGAGTTATCGCGCCATGATAACGAATTTTTTGAGGCTAATTGTTTGTGAAAATGACATGGACGATTACTCGTTCCAGCAGGACGGCGCCACATGCCACACAGCTCCAGCAACAATCAATTTATTGCGACAATTGCTCCCTGGACGACTGATAAAAAAGGCGATTTTGACTTGCCACCGAAATCACCTGATTTGACGCCACCAGACTTTTATTTGTGGGGCTATTTGAAATCCAAAATATACGCTAACAAGCCAAGGACTGTAGCTGCCCTCAAGAACAATATTCGTCAAGAAATTGCCGCCATAACCGCCGAAACATTGGACAACGTGATGGAAAACGCCGAAAAAAAGGGCACTTTTGGTTATCAAGCCCAGAGGTGGCCATTTGCCGGATATCATTTTTGAAAAGTAATTACAACAAATCTCCCTGGACCAAAATAAAAGAGTTTTCAAATGAACAGCAAAATATATGTTTTTAATGTATTTGTGTTTTATAAACAAATTTAAATGGCCCACCCCGTATATGTGCGTTGATCAGAGCTACAACACGATAGATAGGAAAACACAACTATTTTCTGGTTTACATTCTTAATTATATACAGTGTTTTTCTTAAACCTCCCCTCCCAATCATTTATTAAAAGGCTTAAGTTGACAATCCGAAACTCGAGTTGATGAAAGATGATACTACCGCATGAATTTTATATTTTCGCGTAGGAGTGACAATGAAAATTTTGAGATGGCGGCTGGGCGCCATGTGATAAATAATTTTGAACCCCTTTTTGGGTACTTTATGTCCTTAAAATCTCACATAATGGCTGGCAAATTTGAATGTTTTTGTATTGTACATTGAATATGCAATGAAATATGAAATTTCCTTTCATATGAATTGCGATTTTTTTTTAATCAATTTTTATAATGGAATGTTCTGTATTTTAATATTCAGATGGACCCTTCCAAAACGAGAACTTCATATAACATACTAGCGTTTTGCTGATAAGTTGTTGAGCTAAAATCGATTCGCTGTGCAATAACGCTCAATTTTGGCAGCTTGCCAGTATGCCATCCTGAAAACCAGTACATTTATATGATATCAAAATCCAAGATGGCGCCCATGAAATCATGAAACTTCCAATTGCCACGTTTACCTTAAAATGTAGTATTTATGCAAGAGTTTCATAATCCCAAATTTCAACTTGTCCCATTTACCAAATAAGAATAGAGAACTGAATATCTATAATCTTGAATATTCGAAATATAATTGCTTCAGATATATTACAGTTGAACCAGTCTCATAGAGGTAAAATAACCACATCGGCAACAAATATTACAATCACCCACTTCTCTCGATAAGTACGGAACAATTAGGAAACATCTGTATTATGAGCCATCATAAAGATTATAAATGGCGTTGATGATATGTTAATTTATATTTTTAAAAATGACTTCATGTGCCGGACTTCTTCCTGTAACAACCACCATTGATCTTAATTTCAGAATCATATTCTATAAAAATTATTAGGGTAGTAATTACAAGATACAAGTGCAGTCCTGTCAATTTGACATTTCATATACATGCTAATATATAAAGCATAGATATGCATCATGTATATTCACTGCCAAAGAAAATAATGCCTAATAAAAATATATACATATATATCTTTTGATAATTCTTGACGGGACACAGTAAAACTGCTAGTATCATTTTTGTAACTCCATCTCCCTCATACATACTCTAGTCATCTACGTTTGAGTGTAGATGTTTGCTTGTGAAAGCTTAGAGACATACTATTTTTTTTAGTTTTGTTTCACCGCCTCGAACATTTTGTCGTAACCTATAAGTGTTCTGCAACAATGCTTAACACTGTCAGTGTGACAACTCGGCGTGCCTTTTGAGCTTATTTCTTGTTGATCTTCGTTATAAAATGCCGGAAAATACATTTTGCGAACAAAATCGAACATACGTGCTAAAATTAGAGTATTACCAAAAGTGAATGAAAAGAATGGCTCTTATTACTCATTTCACGCGTGCAAGAACGAGTAGTAGCTGTGCTGAGAATTGTTTTGCGCAGTGTGCATTTTTTCTTAGTTAGGAAAAATAGGCTACACACATGACACGTTTAGTCGATCTGTTTACTTATTTCGTATGGCATTGCTGACGTAACCACAAAAAACGGCGAAAAGAGCTATACTAACAAATCCATATACCATTGACATCGTAATGTGTACGAGAGAGAAGCGCGAAACGGGTGCAATTCGAATGTTAGAAAGAGCTAGAAGCACCGTGTTGTCTAGCAACCCGAGAGACGAGGCCATGAATCAAGCTGCCGCTAGCCGCGCTGCCAGCGGCGCACCCTTTCTAGTATACGTTTTGCATGCTTCTCGCGATTCTCTCTCGTTCACATTACCATTGATATTTAGATTTCTTTGTGAAACTCAGAATGTCCGTGTTCGGTATTCTAAGGCCCGTTAACTCTGTTGTATTGTAACTAATCTTATCGTTATGATGGGAATTTGATTTAGTGATTTAGCTAGCTAGTCGCTAGCCCAGCGTACATACCCCTTCTCGCTTTGACCGAGCTAGAGTATATAATTTAGAGCTTAGGCAATAGAAGCTATGAATGGCCCCCGCTAGTGCCATCTGTGAAAAATATGAGACGGCACATCCTAACCACATCACATTGGTGTTATATCGACGTTTAGGCAACACACAGCTACTAAACGTGATTAAGTATTGACGTGCTTGCAAAGTGAGCATTAGGTCAATCAGATCATTATCCCTGTCATTTTGCAGTTACGTAATAAGGGTGCATGCCAGTTCCAAATCGATAGTTAACTTTACCCAGAGTTTCATACATAACTAACTGTGTAGTTGAACTACAGTGTCTAGCCGTTATTGCTTGACAATGACAAGTTTTGTCACGGATGACACGAAACACGAACAATAATTCAGCCGTAGAAGCAGCGTTGCCGCATCAGCGTTTATGAGTTAGTTAACCAGAACTTGAAGAATGGGATTAAGGGTAACTGATAGTTACATTCAAACTTATAGTTACCTAACTTGATTGATCTACGATTCAAAAACCGGGCCTAAGAACAAACAATGGTAATATTTTATATGCTCTTCGCCGACTGATTCTTCTACAATACTCTTTTGCTACTTTTACTCTTAGAATTTCAAAATGGACTTAACATTGTCTATTAGAAGAAATACATTTTCACTGGGTGTTCTATTTGTGTGGGTTGTATAATAGAAAATTATTCGAAATGAATCACTTGTATGTTGGGCACAAATGTGAAAAAATACATTGCTTTTTTTATTGAATGAGTAAAAAGTCTTGAACACCGATTTGTAATTCTTGTCTCCGCCGAATTGATCCAATTATTCCTATTTGAGATGTTCACTTTGATTGGTATCTTGATTCCTTATGTTATCATTCATTCAATACAAATTTTATATTAAAAATAATAGTACTAAGAAACTTGTGCTGTTGTTTCCTACCAAACAAGAATGAAATAAATTTAAAATACAAGGAAAATATTACTAGTACTTTTATGGCACATAAAAATCTAGTTTTGTGAAAATAATCTTGTAACTTGTAGAATATGGAGTAATACTACTAAGTCGAATGTGAAACTTCCAGGCACTGTTCTCACCAAAAGCAACCTGATGGGAACCCGACTTCAACTAGATTTCGAATGCGTTCCTTTTGCGCTCATACTGAAACAACTGCCAAGCAACTGACAGTCTCATTATGAGGCTATGGATAAAGCCATTATCTAGTAAGAAATCGGAAGATAAATAAACTGTTTTGGTTCTTACATATCCTGATTGTAAGTAAAATCGCAAAAGTAACGTATTTGACAAATATATTCGAGTATCAACAATCAGTCTTCATATGCATTATTTTTTATCTAGCAAAAAACTTCCAAAACATAACAAATATATGTACAATAAAGGACCTGCGGAAAATAATAAATCGACTGCAAACGTTTTCTGATTTTAATTCCTACAGTATTAACCTGATTGTCATACTTATGTCAACTGCAGCTCTCCTTGAAGGTGTTCAATATGTCTCCATTGTATCATTGTGTTTGAAGTTATTTAGTAATAGTCACTATGACTGCTGCTTCAACTAAATCACTTCAAACACAATAGTACAATGGAGAAGTACTTTTATCTGATTATCAATCAATTTACGAGAACACGACAAAGCCTTAGCTGAAGTGTCACACTGAGATCCAAGGAATAGAATATCTCATATTAGTACAAGTTACAAGTTAATTCACTTGTAATTATTACACCATACTTTTTACGGAATAGGGCCCAGCAAGCGAGCACTCGTCCACCTGGCATACTTCAACCACGACGGAGACGGGAGCTACACCTGCAGCACTAGACGCAACGAGGAAGATACACCTCCACTACGCCACGTACATGCTAACTGAGTTACTTAAAAGCCAGCAAGGACAACTGCTGCAACTGTTCAATTGCCAACAAGGACAGGTGTTTCTTCGAGATTGCCGTGATCTTAGTCTGGCCGGGAACGGTACTCAAAATCGCGTGTTACCCACTGTTCTAGCTCCGATCAATCTTAGCGTGCGGAATACGCACGAGATCAACCGCTTACCGTCTAACGCGTTTGATGTCCATCCAGTAGACTTGATAAAATGTGCTAGCCCAGGCCTCAATTTGATCAATCCGGGAGTCAAACCGCTGAGTCCCGGCCTAACATCGACCAGTCCCATACTGAAAGCGGCTAGTTTTGGAGTCACGGGCTGTAGTCAGTCTATGAAACCTATCATGATTTCTGCTGCCAACTCATCGATGCAGAGTCCAGTTAGCCCAAGTCATCTGAAGCCCACAAGCCCAGGAGTAGTGCCGGAGACAGGAAGTGGTGTATCGCCCATAACCCTAAAAGGGAAACACGACTCCCCAAATACTATATCGCAGATCCAACAGACTGTTCTAACTTCCATGCCAGCAAAATCAGTCTCGGTAAGCGTCATCAAAACAAAGGAGGACCTCGCCGAAGTGAAGTCGGAGACACCCATAGTGTCATTGCCAAATGTTACAGTTAGCCCTGCACCGCCTAATACTTCTGAACTCATACCGACAACGTTAACGCCGGCTCAAAAGAAGGCAACATATACACACTTTGTTGAGGTCGAGAGCAAGTTGGAAGAGATGTTCGCAGGCATCGAGGACTCCAGCACTGACCTTTTAAAATCTAACCCCACCACATTGACCTTAGATGTATCGGCTAAACTGGAGGAGAGCCTGTTAAAGCTGGACGAGCCTGAGCTCGAAAAGGAAGAACCAGCACTTGTATCGCATCCAAGTCCGTCGACGTTGTCCCCAAAAAGGGAGGAAAACGTCACGACACCTGCGACATATGAAGAAGTTACATCTAGTACGAAGGGTAAGCAGAATCAGAAGTCTGCCACTCCGAAGAAGGCCAAGAGATCGATCGGAACGGTCTCTAAGAAAGACAGCGACGAGTGGCAGGATAAGCCGAATGTGAAAAGGAAAAAGGTCAAAAAAACTACAGCAGAACTAAAGAAAACCCCTACAAACAGTTCCAAGAAGCCAGCCCAGAACCAGGCGCAGGCGTCAAGGACAAAATCTGCAACAGATTCAGTGAAGGACGTATACGCGTACGACTCGGGAAGTAACGCAAGCTCAAGCAGGTCTCGAGGACCATTTATCCTCGTCAGAGGTCCTAGTGACTCACCGATCTCTGTCAGTGTGAACAACACGTCCATCGGCGAAGAAGGCAGCGAGAAGACCCCCGCCAAGACGAAGATCTACCATGATGACTGGCATAAGATCCGATCAAAAGGTCTCCACTGCAGCACGTTAAGCAACAAGTACGATGCTCAGACGCGCGATATGAGTTGGATATGCGTTTTTTGTAAGCGTGGGCCTCATGCGAGCGAACTTAGTGGTCCGATGACGCACGGACCCACTATGGGAGACCTCTTCGGTCCGTATTATATCACCACACAGTCGCCTGAATTCGAACGTCAGCTGATCGATCCGTTCGACCGGCAGTTCAAGAGCAAAAAGGTGGCTCGCGCTCTGGACGAACAACAAGGGAACAAGGCCGACAAGAAGACCAAAAAGAAACATGCTGATCTCATTCAGAACGAGTCTGATGTTTACCTAGGGATCTACGAGGTACCGACCACTAGTACATCGAGTACAGCGTCGACGTATGAGGTGTGGACGCATGAAGACTGTATTGTGTGGTCGCAAGGCACACACCTTGTAGGAGCGCGGATAGTTGGATTGGAGGAGGCAGTATGGCAAGCGTCTGGTGTGTCGTGCTCCCACTGTAAGCTGCGCGGGGCGACGGTGTGTTGTCTGAACAGAGGGTGCTTACAACGGGCGCACGTGCCCTGTGCTAAACAGTTCCACTGGAAAATGGACGAGGAAGGAGGACTTAAAGTGTGGTGCACACAGCATTCCACGTAGGCGGGACGAGTGTAGTGTTCGAAATTGGGATATGTGATCAAGTGTCATCTTACGAAAACTATGTGTATATCAGTTACATTACATAGCTTAGACTTCAAAAGAAGATAAATTCTCAAACCTGTTGGATTAACAGTTTACACCTTATATAGACAGAAAACCAAATAACACTGACGTCGTGAGGTTCACGAGAGAGAAGCGCGAGAGGTGTGCAATACGTGTGTTAGAAGGAGATAGAAACACGTTGTTGCCTTGCAACCCGAGTATGAGATCACGGATGTCATCGATGTACTCTTTCTAACTTACATATTTCACGCTTCTCGCGCTTCTCATACACATTATGACTTCAGCCAAATGTGAACTTCACCGTAGTCGTCCAAAAGCTATAAATGCTGTATGGTTTGTTAGTCATATGGTCTGTGTGAAAAAATGGAAAAAGATGATAATGTGTATATTTCAAATATCAAGAACGATCTGATTTATAATGTTTATAATGGCTCATACCACGGATGTTTCCCAAGGTTTCCTTATTTATAACAGTTTATTGAGAGAAAGTTATGTGATACTAGTAGTTGATGCTGGCGTGACTATTTTAGCTCTGTGTCTTGTTAGCTTCAAGCGAAATAAAGGAAGAAACAAAGGCATTTGTTGTATTATTAAGTACTTAAGATTCAGGAACACAATCTGACACTCAGCTGACGAATGTATAACGAGTGGTTGAATGTAATGTAGGTTTCATTTTCATTTTCAAATTAAAAAGTCACTATGATAACTCTAGAGGTAGTTTATATTTTCATCTGCAAAAATGTAATAGTAGCATAACTAGCAAATCTGTATTTCAAAAGGGAGTATTTGAAATCAAATTGAATAATGATATTAAACAGTGTTTGGTTTTAAAAATGTTTAATCTGAAATTAAAAAATCACATTACGAATACCCAAAATGCTTAGCCATGTCATTTTAATCGACAAGAATGTATAATTACAAAAAATCTATTAAAAAAATGTATAAAAAATAATTATACGTTAAATCGACTTTCTAGGATTAATGCCAAATAAGTCTTAAAAAAAACAACACTTTGGCAGTCCTAAGGAGAAACAGTATGTAAAATTTTAATAATTTTTAGAAACTGATAAAGGAGATTTGTTGCTGTTGAAAAAGTCGAGCTAATATTTCTAGAAAAATCAAAGATAAACTAAGTACAGATTTAATTCAGGTTATACAATTTATCTCTTAATCTTTATCAGTTGTCCTGGAATCAAAATCATTTGTTGATAATGTACAGATACTGTGTACCTTAAATGATATTTTTGGATTAACAAGATTCACGTATCTTCAAACTTTCTGAAAATAAAACAAGGTTTGAATATTGCACGAAAATACTTATTTTTGGTACAGGTACAAGATAAGGATCCTATGAAACTTGTAAAACTTTCATGTCTTACTGAGGTATTTGGGAAAAACACATTTGACCAAATAATTTTTATTTTTTTCTGACTTCATTTTAAGAAATACACGTACATTGTTCACTGCTCGGTTTATATCACTTCTCAGTCCTCCCAACCCTGTTACTGTTCAAACTGAACTTAATGTTCAATTTATAAGTCTGGTCTGGCGTAGGAAACAAACTATAATTTCAAGGCCTACCTAGGAAATTCTGTTCTTCTGAAATAACTTCTGTTTGGCAATGTCAGTACACATATACATTTCTGTGTAAAAATCCAATATGGCGTCTTTAATGAAAATGAAGTTGATATTGGAGGACAAGAGACGAAGCGTCATATTAACATTCTATTTGACCATCTTGTGAATGAGAAAAAGTTGCAGTGTTAATGTGCAGTTTGTTTAGAAATCCCACTACAACGGAAGTAAGTAAAAAATTGAAACGATCTTGTGAAAATTCGGTTTTTATCGTCTCTCTCCGAAAGTACTTTGAATTTCAAAACTTTCTAAGCGGCATTTTGATAGTTACCTGAATAGGCAACTTTGCTCTCTGTTAAGCGATTTCGTATCTCCCACGATCTAAGATCCCATTGGTGAGGGTCGAATTTCCCGAACCTAAAATTGTAACAGGAGACTTCAATGCTCAACACGCAACTGTGGGCATCCACTGATAATAATATGGCAGAATTAAAGAAGCAATCGAATTCAATGGAACAGCGGCGGGCTACAGGCAAAAACGAAATATATATATATATATATATCTATAGATGTAGCCCGCCGCTGTTCCATTGGATTCGATTGCTTCTTCTAATTTAATTAATTATATATATATATATATATATATATATATATAAATAAATCCATCAAACCCCTTCATTATGCGAAATTGACGAGTGATATTAGATGAAAGTATGAATTTTCAGTAATATTCGCTCTAATTACGAACATGTTTGCATACATCCTTTTCTGTAAACGCCACAAACAGTACTGATGACCAAATAGTGTGCTTTGGAAAAACACAATATCTGCTGTCATGCCACTATTTCATCGATACGATTGATCGGCGCATTTACTGCGTTTTACGTGTGGCTGAACGCAGATACTGTGTTTACTCATTCTAGGTTTGATTAGTGTTGTTTCCTATACCGTATCTTCGCGCTTTCGCTTCCAAAAGATATTTAAGTTCTTTAGAATATAGGGCTAGGCCTAGTATATGTGGTCCATATCCGCATCAACTGCAAATACTGTGTTTTTCCTTGGGACAGCCGCACATCTTTCCGGTATTGTGTATTAAAATATCACTTTCTTTAAAACACTGTATTTATTGCTTTACACGCAGGCACCTGAAGTACAAGAGGTATTTATTATAGCTAAGCACTATTATTTTTTGATCAAAGGTTCCGCTGATTGGTTGAAATATATTGTTGTAAATAGGTATATTATAATAATCAAGTGTTTGTGATGTGTATTCACAAGATTCGTTACTATAAAACTGTGGGTGTGTTTATCTGTTTTTTGATAAACTCTGAGAAGCTGAAAACTATTGTAACGCATGCCCTAGTTAACTAAATTATAATTCTGAATGTTTGTCTGTTTACTCATCGGGTGAACATAGTTAAATTAACTGTGGCACATAAATGTTCTTTTGTACGGGGTTTGACCACATAATACAATGTCCGAAAATCAACCAATTCTGAGATGATTCATTTTCTACCATTTTTCAAAAATATAAATTTTTGTGTACTAACTCATACTTTCCCCGTCTAGTTAAATCTATAGATCTGGTAATTTTTTGTATTCTGTCCAACAATCGTATCACTTCATCTAATCTTCTAGTTATTATTCATTTTTGGGAAGCCAGAAAGGCGTAAACATTTTTAAGATCATGTGCAGAAAAACTTAATAGCATCTTGTTGAGAATTAACATACCTGATATTGAAAAAATCGATAAGTATCCTAGAGCTTCACTATTTATCTGTTTGATGCCTGCCTATATGTGGAGTGTAATATAACTTTTTCAGAAATTCGAGATTTTCAACATCCAGCACTAGTCTGACATCATGCTTGCGTCCCACAATCCTTGGTATCTGCTCTTCATAACCTTGATATCTTTGTGGAAGCGCTCACCTCGTTTTTCACTTACTGCACACGATTCTCAAAAAAAAGTTAACATGAGAATGCAGAAAATAACTTTATACTCACTTTGCAACCCAAATCACGGACATTTCTGAGCATTCACCATGTTTTCATAATTTGCTAGCGGCTCTTTAATAGTAAATTCAAATAACTCAAATGCGGTTATTTTTTCAGAAAATGGATCTAGATGTTTTCTGATAGCAAAAAACGTCGTTTTCCTTGTAGAACAAGATAGCTTGTAGAGATAACCCAACTAGCAAAGTAGTGGAATAAGCTTTTGGTAAAAGAACCGTTCAGCCATAAAAGCTCTCTATTGTTGTTGCCTGAACACCAAAATGCTGGCTTAATGTTGTGTGGATTGCAAATTTGCTTTCTGCAACATATTTGCTCTAAAATGAGGTGTTATACAACACCTTATAGGGCAAATTTTTAACTGTTGCATAAACGTTTATTTTGTACCCTACGGCATATTTGCAAGTTAGTCAAAATGGTTGTGTTGTGGTACCCATGCTAACGTTTATAAAACAAACCCGACCCTTGTTGGTTTGCTGTGCAATTTACTACATTAGCCAAAAAATTGCTCCCAACGGAAGCACTTATACAACTGTTACATATGCTAAATATGTTGGTAAACAACTTCACCATAACCTAACTTTCTGCTGTCATATTTTTTATTTTTGTTAAAATGTCATACCTAACCAATGTGTCTTGCTCACTATGATCTTGTAGCGTTCACCCCTTATTATATGGTGGATGTACTTGAGTTTCCGTTTCTTGGCGGTTATCAACAGTTTTTTATTCATCCTTAGCAACCCTCCATTCGTTACTTTATCTACCCACGTTATTTGAAGTATCTTTTATAGGTACAGTTCGAAAACATTCATGGTGTTTTAAAGGGTTGTGACTTAGATCACCATGTCATCGGCAAAACGGACATAGATAATTGTGCCGTTGATTTTAACAGCATCTTTCACATTCTCAAGTGCCTTATTGAATACTACTTCTGGGAAGATGTTAAATAGATGCGGTGACAAAATACTACCCTGCCTAACACCATTTCTTGTAGCGACCTACTTTGACTTGATTACATACATTCTGAGCCCAGCTGATTTCAGTAAAAATGGGCGGCGATGCGCAGGTCGCTTCATCGATTCATTGATGTCGGTTTGTATAAGGACCTCAATGAGTCGATGTAAAAGCCACTTAAAGCTTCGAGACAATTACTGAAACATGCATATGCGTGGACGTTGGTATCTTTGTCACGCTAGATGAGAATTTTTAGCGAGAAAGTAGTTTCTCTAGTTCCAATCCGATTTTTGAAGGCAAACTGGAGTGTTGCTGATTTCACCTTCACACTTGGCGTATTTTAACACATACAAAATGTATCAAAAATACTACTAGCTTGCAAAAATCCCTACAAAGTTGAACATATCTTAAAACACACCGTAACCGATATCAAAAGTCTTTTGCGTCTGTTCCAGATATCTTACGAAACCGGCACTTTCCCAGAAAACTCGAAATTTGTTGTACGTATCACCCATCCCAAAAAAGGCTCTAAGAACGACCCTTACAACTACAGGCCTATAACTCTGCTTTCTATCATAAGTAAGTTGATGGAGTCTTGATTAGCGACAGGCGATATGGTTTCGGCACCAGCGATCCACGGGGGGCACTCGTAGCTTACGTCACGCAACTGTGGAGTAAATTAATCCAGTCTTATGGTGAGGCTCGTGTCTTTGCTATTGATATCGCGAAAGCACTCGATCAGCTTAGCAGATGGGTGGCCGACTGTATCTCCGGCCACAAGATATCCATCGTAATAGACGAGTTCTCCTCGTCATCCCACAATGTCGGCGCGGGTGTTCCCCTTGGATCGATCTTGGCTTCGACCTCCTTTCCTATACTGTCAATCCAATCCACAGCTTTGTTGATGCCAACTCTTTACAAGCTGGAATGATCTTGGCTTCGACCTCTTTTCCTATACTGTCAATCCAATCCACAGCTTTGTTGATGCCAACTCTCTACAAGCTGGAATTCCGGGTCATAAGCCGATCTCTGCTGGTGAGCAGGAGAAAAGAAGACTAGCAGTGACTTCCTCTCCGACGAGAGACCTGTAGGTTGTCACTGCTTGGAGACGCAAAGATCTGGTGCAGGTTAATGCTTCCAAAAACAGTACTATTGACGAACAAGAAGATTTCCGAGTTCTACCAAAACGTCGTTTATTTCGTCTGATCGCAGTCCAGATCAACGAGAACTTGATCTGGCACGAACACTCTGAAGAAGGCGCAGATAAGTCCTAGCCTCGAGTACTGCTCATATGTTTGTGGTGCTGCCCCGATTACGTTATACATACTCGTTGCTATGCTACCTGTACGCCAACGGGATTTTTTCCTTAGAGCTCTCCTCCATGATGCCGTCGCGCGATGTGCCTGCCAGACAACCTGCCTTCAATCCTTACCGTATCAAACCTCGTACATCCAGAACAGCAGATTCGACCGCTCCTTTGTCCTTAAGGTA